CGCTATTTTTACCAAAACGCCTTGCAGATCAAACAACTGACTTTGAAGTGTTATCAATATTACAGTGTTGCATCAAGATCCAAAATATGTTTTTGTTGAATTTAGGGTATGTGGTTTATGAAAGTAAGTAAAATAAGGATTTGGTTCCATGAAATATTTGAATTTATCCCAATAAATCAGCCGTCTGGCCCAATGTGCCCTGGCCGTACTAGAGAAGTGTAAAGTAGCTTTGTGGTGTAGGGGTCGTAAAATTCTTTAGACTATCGTTTAATAAAACCAAGAACACCCTTAGCTTTGTTAACGATAGTGGTGATGTGAAGATTGAAATTCAATTTGGGATCAAAAAGAACTACAAGAGCTTCAACTGTAGATATACGTTGCAATGGTATATTGTCAATCGTATAAATAGCAAGATGTGATCTAGACCGGTGGAACGTCAAAAATTTACAATTATTACAGTTACTGCAGACGAGAATGATAAAGAGGATCTTTATACGAAAAAATTAGCTTTTCATGTGCAGCAGGATATACGGAAGGTCATTAATAAGTAGGGTGAATAATAGGGGGCCAAGATGACTACCTAAAGGTACGCCAGAAGTTACGAGGAAAGGTTTAGAAATATTCACCCTGAGTAGTACCTTCTGTGACCTATTTTCTAAGTACGAGGAAATCTAATTCAAAGAGTTTGAAGGTAATCCCATACGAGTTCAAGATGAGGTCGGGATTCATAGAATTTAATGCTTTGCTAAAGTCTGCATATATAACATCAGCTTGCATCTTTGCAAGGAATGCATCATTTATGAAAGATGTAAATTCTAGCAGATTAGTCGTTGTTCACCGATTTTTTAAAAATCCATGCAGAGCAGGGGAGATTACAAACTTACAATGATGCTGTAAAAAGGAAGTAATTAATATTTAAATAATTTAGGAATGTCTGACTTACAACCCTTTTTGTGGAGTGGTATACTAAACAAAAAGCAGGAAAGATTCCGTTCTCAAGGGACAGAATAAAAAGCTTAAGCAACGGTTTGCAGAGGGAAGTATATTAGACAAAGTACAAGAATCTGTAATTATTGGAGAAAATATAAAATTTGAAGGCATAATGCAGAAGGGGTATGAATTGCCGTTGAAAGACTCGGACGAGTATGTCGACTGAAAAAACTTTGTAAATAATTCATACATATCAAATCATTACAAGAATTGTCATTCGCAAGACAAAATGACGATGGCAAAGTCGAAGACTTCTGTTTAGAATTTACGAAGTTATAGCACTTTTTTTTGTCATGTTTAAATTAAAGTTTGCAACGCCCAAGATAATTCGTGTAAAACAGGGAGTTTAAAAGAAGAAAACAAGTAGAGAATCTAACACCCGAGTCCCGACTTTGAATGTCGTCAACATCCGAATCTACCTTCTCCTGTTGTTTGTTTATTATGATGTAAATAAATACTATAATAATACTGTACTATATCATTTATCAATAAAACGTACACCCTGTACCTGTACATCAGAGAACTGCAACGAGTACTATATTTTCGGTCATACGCGAGTATTTACCCATACTCGGTATGATTATTTCATTTGGGTATGGTTGTGAACAAGCCCTCAACGAACACTCAGTTCGAATCAAAACTAAAAAAGAAGTGAGCGGTTGTGACCGAAACTTCTTGCATGAATGCAAGCAATGACCTGTTGTGAACGAACGCTCACCGACCAGTCAGTTCGAAATAAAACTGCAAAGACTCAGAATGAGCGGTGGTTACCAAAACTTTTTGCCTGAGTGCAAGCAATGATCGAACGTCGTATTTACAATCATGCCCGCTTGACCGAAATGTTCGGTAGAGTTTGGGTAATTCCCGTGTCATGTCAACCGAGCAATGATATCGGCGCGTGGACGTGCACTTGCATTTACTATTGTTTTTCGGCTATTGGTTCAGTAGCAACTTCATATACAAGTGCATATGCATATAAATTAAAGAATCCAACAAAACTATAAGCGAAAAGAAATACATTCCTTTTTATTTCAATTAAAAATAGTTATGCTATTTTAATTTATATTAATTTGTTTACTTTATATATTTTTTTATATTTGAGTTCCTTTTTTAAGAAATAAAATCATAATATATCATAATAATATCATAATATAAAAATAAATAAATATGTTTTGTTTTCATTCTGTACCTCTTTATTTAAAATACGTACATACTTGTACATTTGCACAGGTTTGCGCATAATTGCAAACACATGCACGCACAAATACATAAATATTTACAAACCTTTATTTTGTATACGGTTATACTCTGGTAAAACCCGCGCAATACTCAAATAATACCCGAGTACAACTCGCGCAATATCCAAACACAACTCGAGTAATAACTGTATTATTCTCGTTTGATCAAACGCTCATTGTCGAAAGTATGGTTTGTTTCGATTAGTACCCAGTCATCTTAAACGACGTGATCGAGCCTGAACTATTTGAAAGTAAACCAATCAAGGCTGATACCCGTTCGCAACGATCAGAATACTCGAAGTGACCGAGCCTGGTCTGCTCGAAAGCAAACCAATCAAATCCGCTGCTTTTTCGTAGAAATAGAACGATGGCTCATTCGATCATAAGAAAAATGCTGAGAGTACTCTAACTCTTTCGAGGTCGTTTGCAGCCAAGCAAAGATCTGATGTGATTGAATTTTCAGCAAGGGTGGTAGAATATACTCGTTGCAGTTCTCTGCTGTATATTCACATATGTATATACACGTGGGCGCGTATAGACACAAATAAATGAAATATGGATGTAGATTTATAATAATGAAATTCATAACAATAATGGAATGCTAGAGTCGAACAGACCAAATTCTTAAATATTATGTATTTAAAGATAAAAGCAAATTTTTGGTCAAAAAAATATCCTTAAATAAATATTTTCAAATAAAACAAGAGAGACGAGCAAGCCGAAGCAGAAGCAAAAATATGTTGATGAGCGAACTTGATGCTGCAGTTTGTGGGCGTAGTGCTGGAGTGGAGTTTTTTCGCTAAAAACATTTGTTAGACTTGATCGATTTAGATAAGACTAGACTAGGAGCGTTCACATACCAAGTTTGGTAAAAGTGCGATCAGCCGTTTCCGAAATCCATGCGTTCATCCACCGGGCGGACATGACTATCTCGATTTTTCTCGTCATGCTGACCAAGAATATTTATACTTTATGGGGTCGGAGATGCTTTCTTCTGCTGTTAAATATTTTGCACAAACCTAATATATCCTTTCTACCCTACAGGTACAGATTATTAAAATACATAGCACGTTCATAGAGTCGTACAGTTGTAAAATACACACATTTACCTCAATATTGTGTCTATGCGTTGTGGGCAAAGCATGGGCAGATTCATACTTATGACTATAAATTCCTTTACATTTGACTCATCGTGATGAGGACATACATTCGCACAAAACTTGTTATCCTTTGAATACAAGGTATAGGTTGGAGCGGCTGGGGCCTTGGTGTACACTTTGAGTACAAGGTATAGGTTGGAGCGGCTGGGGCCTTGGTGTACACTCCCTATTTAGATCAGAGATCAGAGAGGCCCATTGTGGTGCCCAGGGCAGGGACATAGGTGTTCAACGCTCTTCGAATTCTCCTCGTCTTTACAGCTCCTAAAAAAGTCATTATAAGGTATGCCACGCCTTGCAGTATGCCTGCCAACTGGATAAGCATCCACTGTGAGCATCCCCACTAACATGGAGACTGCAGCCCTAGTAGAATATTTGTACAGGGTATAAAATGTTAAGACATTTTAAAATCCTTAGTATGCATTATATTTAAAATTCTTTTTGAGAGCTTGCAACCCAATATGGAAGTTAATCGAATCGTTTTGCCCCCAATGTAGTTTGAATATTCCAAAACTGCATCTTAGTGCTCACCTACACTATAAAAGAAAACAAGTTAAAAAGCTGAAGTCGGGTGTCCCGACTTTGAAATACTCTGTACAATAATTATAGTAAATAAAAAAAATTAAGAAAATACAAAAAAAAAATGTGATCGATTTTACCTCTCTCGGTATTCGAACTCACGTAAAGGGTTTATAATTACACATTTACATAGCAATTGCGTCTGTGTGAGTGTATGTATGCCACGCATCTATTCGTGTCTGTGTGAACATGTGTGCAGTCAACCAAAGCACCAGCATCAACAACAGCCGCGGGCAGCGCTTGAGCAACGCTCCAGCAGCAAATATATTTATGGCTATAACTTCTCGTTAAATCGGTCTATCATAGTGAAACTTGGCATACGGACACATAATAACCAACTGGGGGTATTTCCAAAATTGTAGTTCGAAATTCCAAGAATTACGGGAGTTACGATTTGCGGTGGAGAGGGGGGAGGGAGGGAAATTCCAAAATTTAAATTTTCTGCGTATTCACATAAGGCATCTGGCATTTGGTGTTCCTAGGTCTTATAGTCTCCGAGATATAGGCGATTATACGAATGGAAAATCGGGAAAACCCCCATAGGGTGAAGTGGTGGGGAGGGGGGGGGGGGGGGGGGGGGGGGAATCAAAAAAAAAATAAAACAAACTCGTATAGAATACACACATAAGGCATCTTTGTGCAAAATTTGGTGTCTCTATCTCTTATAGTCTCTGAGATCCAGGTGTTCATACGGACGGACAGACGGACAGGCAGACAGACAGGGCTAGATCGATTCGTCTCGTCATGCTGATCAAGAATATATATACTTTGTGTTATCTGCCACGCCTCCTTCTGCCTGTTACATTTTTCAGCTCCCGCAAACCTAATATACTTCTGTACATTTCATGTACAGATTATAACTAGTGTCAAAATTGTACCTTCCTAAATATACTAAAGATTTCCGAGGATGGTGATATATAGGTTTTATACGCTTCATATGCTTGGAGCTACATACTTGTACATATGTATGTGTGTACATATATGCTTACATTAGCTCCAAGTTAGTTATGTATGTATGTAATAATTTCAATTGCAGCATCGCTTGGCATTGGTCATACCGCAACGCAACTATCATGTGGGACATAAGCGGACACTGGGGACCGCTGCGAATCCTGATATTATATCTAAACAATACCCCATAATAGATCATGCATACGATGCAATTGTAGTCGGCGCTGGAGGAGCTGGCTTGCGAGCTGCCTTTGGCTTAGTAGCTGAAGGATTTCGTACGGCTGTCATAACGAAACTTTTTCCAACTCGCTCGCATACTATTGCAGCTCAAGGTGGCATTAATGCGGCTTTAGGAAATATGGAAGAGGACGATTGGAAGTGGCACATGTATGATACTGTTAAGGGTTCCGACTGGCTGGGAGATCAAGATGCCATTCATTATATGACACGCGAAGCTCCAAAGGCAGTTATCGAGTTGGAAAACTATGGTATGCCGTTCTCGCGTACACAGGACGGCAAAATTTACCAACGTGCTTTCGGCGGTCAGAGTCTCAAGTTTGGTAAAGGTGGCCAAGCACATAGATGCTGCGCGGTAGCGGACCGTACGGGGCACTCTCTTCTCCACACGCTATACGGTCAATCCCTGAGCTACGATTGCAATTATTTTGTGGAATATTTTGCACTCGATTTAATTTTTGAAGAAGGCGAATGCAGGGGTGTGCTTGCTTTAAACCTAGAAGATGGAAGCTTACATCGTTTCCGTGCACAGAACACTGTAATTGCAACAGGCGGATATGGACGAGCCTTCTTTTCGTGTACGTCAGCTCATACGTGCACTGGTGACGGCACGGCGATGGTTTCACGTCAAGGTTTACCATCGCAGGATCTTGAGTTTGTACAGTTTCATCCAACAGGGATTTACGGTGCAGGTTGCCTTATAACTGAGGGATGTCGCGGTGAGGGAGGCTACCTTATCAATGCAAAGGGTGAGCGCTTTATGGAACGTTATGCGCCCGTGGCTAAAGACTTGGCCTCTCGTGATGTGGTGTCTCGTTCGATGACTATAGAAATTATGGAGGGCCGTGGTGTAGGGCCCGATAAAGATCATGTGTACTTGCAGCTCCACCATCTGCCCCCTAAGCAATTGGCCGAGCGGCTGCCAGGCATTTCTGAAACGGCAATGATTTTTGCAGGAGTAGATGTCACTCGCGAGCCCATACCAGTATTGCCTACAGTGCACTACAACATGGGTGGAATTCCCACCAATTATCGTGGTCAGGTACTAACTGTGGGAAAAGATGGTAAGGATGTTATTGTTCCTGGGCTATATGCGGCTGGAGAGGCAGCCTCTAGCTCTGTCCATGGTGCAAATCGATTGGGTGCCAACTCCCTACTTGATCTGGTAGTTTTTGGTCGTGCTTGTGCCAAAACTATTGCAGAAGAAAATAAACCGGGTGCCAAAATACCATCATTGAAGGATGTACGTATCTTAACTTTGTGAGAATATATTTGTATATTTATTTGTATATATTTGCAGGGCGCCGGTGAAGCTTCTGTTGCCAACTTAGATAAGTTACGTCATGCTAACGGCCAAATCACTACTGCTGACTTGCGCTTGAAGATGCAGAAAACTATGCAGCACCATGCCGCGGTTTTCCGGGATGGTCCTATACTGCAGGAGGGAGTTTCCAAAATGCAAGAAATATACAAGCAATTTAAGGACATTAAAGTAGTCGACAAGTGTGTATATAATATCATCGATTTCAAATCATACAAATACAAACAAATAATCTAAATATTAGATCCCTAATCTGGAACTCTGATCTCGTTGAAACCCTCGAGCTTCAGAATTTGTTAGCGAATGCGCAAATGACCATTGTGGGAGCTGAAGCTCGGAAAGAGTCTAGAGGTGCACACGCACGAGAGGACTTTAAGACCCGAATTGATGAATATGTAAGTACCATAATACCTGTAATTTTTTTGCTTATATATAACTGTGTCGACAGGATTACAGCAAGCCAATCGATGGTCAGGATAAGAAGCCTGTCGAGTGTCATTGGCGTAAACACACCCTTGCTTGGGTTAGTAATGATCAAGGCGACGTTCAATTGGATTACAGAAATGTTATTGATCACACCCTAGATAATGAGGTGCAGAGCGTACCACCAGCGATTCGATCCTACTAGACAGATTACAAGAGCAAATTTGGCCACAATACTAGCCGCCTCCCTAGCACTTTGCAAATCTAATATTTTTCTGGAGAAATTTGTCACAAAAAAACATATATGTGTAATACATATGTAAGCACTAGTGTTAATTTGTAGTTCACTTGAGCTGTTATAAAAATTATTACGTGTGACCAAAATATTTTTTTTTACTGAAATGTATAATGGTATATGTGTATTTTTTGGTGTGCAAATCTGTAACACCAATATGAATCGTAAGCTCATGTGTATATAATAAATAGGCAAGCGAAGGGTATCAACACATATATAGATGACGAATTACAATATTTATTATAGGAGCCCTTATCTATATATATATATAACTAGAAGGTATAACCCTCTTAACCCGACTCAATATAATGTTTCAAATTGTATGTATTTATTTTGTGTGTGCATGACTTACCCATATGTTTTCACCTAATTAGTTAATGTATTTAAATGAACATTTTCTGTTCTTGACAAAAATTGTTTACATTTACGTTAGATTTGTGTTCGTTAAACGTCCACACATATGACCACTATAACAAATATGTTTTAAGCTCGTTTCCCCCCTTTGTAGCTCGAATTTTCCAAGAGCCTTAGTGCGCACCTACACTATGATGGATACTATGAAAGGATGCTTGAGTCCCAATTTCGCCTTCCTAGCTTTTACCGTTTGGGTTGTGCGTGATCACTAATCAGTCAGGACAAACTGTTTGATATATATTGAGTTAACGCGACGTTTTAAGATAGACTATGTTCAAAAAAAGGGAATAATTATTAGAGTATATCGCAATTTTAATTTACATTTGTATCTTTTCGTGACTTATTGAGTCAATACGATCACGCACGAATTCGAAATATGAAACACCGCACTCGTGTCACTGCCTTGCAGCGATGAGCCACGATCAAAAAGCACTGACCTTTGCTAGGGTAAAACTTTTGATAGTTGCATCCACTGATACTATCGATATCGATACATCGAGGTGAGAATGCAATAAACAGAATATGGTTATGTCCGCCTTTGCCATTGCATCTTTGTCGCAACGGCGGCTAGCTTGCGGCCTAGGGTCGGACTCGACAATATCAAAAACAATATTTATTTTTTTCTCAACACACCTACACATCTGAGGAATTTGTGAGCCTACCGTGAGCCGGTATTGGCATTTTTGTTGCCGGCTCCCTTTAATGAGTTTGGTTTTTCTTTTGGTTTGTACCCTTGCTACCTCATCTCACCCCATAAATGACTCTACTCCAGTTTCATATCCTTAGCTAACTTTTCATACATTTATTGACATTAAATTTAAGTACGACATTTAGAACAATGGTTTTTATTGTTTGGGACGTTGCAGTTATATTTGGGCTCTTTGGCCAATTATTGCTTTATCGTAACTGAGTCTCCTAGCCTACCTGTACTCGAGTTTGTGAAAACTGTACCCTTGATCGGGTTATCGTTTTCTCAAGGAACCGATCTTCTTTTTCTTATCGACACCACCCAACCTTGATTGGTAAACCTTTGTCCTGTCACTCACACACGACTGCCCTACCTTGTTATTGGCGGTTGGTGGATTGCCGCACATAACATCTAAATAATATATTATAATTTATTGAGATCAATTAGAATAAATCTTATACATATGTACACACATATGTATGAATGTATATCTGCCCGCAATGGAAGCAGAATATGCGTAGCTTCGTTATTCGGTTTCTGCTTTACTATCACTTACTCAGACGTTGCCTAGCGACGGTAACTGTATACTTTTGGCATTTTGCCTTTGCAATTAAAAGGCGTAGATGATGAAAAATTAAAAATGTGAGCGAATGAATAAGAGCGGCAGTTGCCGCAGCTTTTTCCAAAGGGGGACCAAAAAATTAAAATTGTTTTGTGCGACGCAGCAGTATTGAGAAACCTCAAATGGCGTCAGACGATGCCAGCTGGCGTGCGCCGATACCATCACCGAGTACTCGTGCGTGAGGTGCGTGGACAAGTGCTACCATTTAGCAGGGTTAGAAAGTGCGGGGTAGCATCGGGAATCGGGAATACAGAGGTTATCGGTTCCTTGGGAATGACAAGTAGTAGTTTCCGACAAGGGCAAAGGCACAGTTTTGGCAAGTGACAAAGGGACGTGCACGTGGTAGTTGGAACGCACACAGGGAAAGAAAGAAGAAAAGGAAGCAAAGTGGAAGATTTAGAACGTAGGAATAGCTGGAGGACAAGGAGAGGACGAGGAAGTATATCTTTGGGAACATCTAGGCTGAGGTAAGTCAGTCGGAAAAGAGCTATGCCAGGAAATAATATATTATTACGCATGGTAGGCGATCGGCAACCGAAGCGACGGGGGGGCCTGAAAATTGGGCTGTGGGCGGTTTGGGGAACGAGCGTAGCTTGGATGCAGGAGGGCTTCATTGTAGCCACGACAGACGACAGCGCCAACACCGGCCGGCGACGCATCATTCTTCATGAGGCCTCAGCTTTAATTTGATTCCAGCCAGCGGTGCTCGTTTGGACTCGGGCTAAGTACCCCTACGACTACCAACTTACATATATCTATACACATATGCATATTCTTTTCAAACAGAACACCAAAATTTTTATACAGCCCACACACATACATCCGTCATTTTCATAGCACAATTTAAACACATACACAAAATTTATATACAGCCCACACACATACATCCGTCATTTTCATAGCCCAATTTAAACACATACACAAAATTTATATACAGCCCACACGCACATAATCCATTTAAACACACACCACAGAAGTTATATACATCACACACTCATATATATCCACTCCATAAACCCACACATATATACAATTCAAACAAACACCAAAATTATATACAGCCCACACGCACATAATCCATTTAAACATACACCACAGAAGTTATATACATCACACACTCATATATATCCACTCCATAAACCCACACATATATATAATTCAAACAAACACCAAAATTATATACAGCCTACACATACATAATCCCTTTATATACACCAAACTACAATACAATACAATACAATACAACACACAAAACAACAATTTTCTGTTACACACATAGCCCAAACAATAACCACATAACATAAAACCCTAAACAGAAACACAACACCAAACAAGTAACCATATTGTAAATAAAGATTTAAAGGTATACTTAAAAAAACAAGAAAAAAAAAGTAAAAGATAAATGTATAAAATGTTGTAATGTGTATTGGAGCGGCGCAGTTTTTTTTTGTTTATCTCCTTGTAATGATATCCCTCATAACCACATACTCGAGTATAGGTAGGTTAGGAGGTTCGAAAATCGAATAAGATAAATAGGCACAAAGAGCCAACAAACTGCAGCTTCCCAAAACTCAATGGCCTAATTACACAAATATATTTTTATTGTAATAAAATTTAAAATTGAGCATGAATCTGGAGTAGAGTCCATTTATGGGGTGAGATGGGGTGACAAAAGTCACTGAGCAGAAGGAAAACCAAAGCAAGGTCATTTAAGGGAGCCGGCAAAAGATGCCAATATCGGCTCAAGGTAGGGAGGGCCACGCGGCTACATGACATTAAAGTAGCCACCACAGTACCCAAATTCCACAGGCGTCCCCAGCCGACAATATGAGTAGGTGTTTTGAAAAAAATATAAATTTCGATTGTTGGTCTGCTGCACCCCTGTCGCGGTCGAATCTGACCGATGGCTAGCCGGCGTTGCGACAGGGGATGCAATGGCAAAGGCGGACATAACAAGATGGCGCCCAAAGAAATACACCTGGGTATACGTTTTAGCAAAGGTTGCGAAGAGAAGCGAAGGAGAAAAGCCAGTCTTGTTTTTCTTTTTTTATTTAATAACGTGGTTCAAAATAACTTTCTACAGCAATAGCTGCTAGTGGCCCCTTAGCCGGCGGGAAGCGGTGCAACTGCCAGGTCCGAGGGTGAGCTTCACTAGGGCTCAGCCCATCGTTGCCGCAGTGGCATCCTTCTTACAGCGCGGTGTAGGTTAGTAACCAGCAAAATAGGTGCAGCGAAGGGGCAGATGTAGCAGGTCCGTGAGGTGTCTTAGTACCCACTCATTGTTGCCCTACAGGGTGTCCCGGAGCCAAAAGAGATCGAGATAGGGATGTCTGTTAATGTTAAGTAAAGAATATATTAGTTGCCCAGTTTTTTTTTGTTTGTGTTTTTTTTTGTTTGGTATGAGTTCTTGTGTGTTGCTGCGTAGTAGGTTCGGGTCCTGTCCCAAGCGGAAGCAGCATCGTTGCCCTACGTAGCAGAGCATGGGAGCAGCAATTCGCCATAGCCCAAGCAGGATTTGAGTTTTGGTGGGCGCCTGGAAGAAATTTGGAGGTATAAATCATGCGATAAATATATGTTTGTTTTGGTTGTTTACCTTCTGCAGTGACAGCGTACCGTGGTGCAGCGTCATACGGAGGATCCCCATCTCACCCTTACATGTTTGGTTGTTGATTCTGTAATTGTGAGAATCTGTTTTTTTTTTTGAATGGTTTTATAGTCAGTTAGTGTAATAATTACCTTTTATTTATTTATTTGCGTAGCAGCAAATAAGTATCAATAGACAGGAAGTCCATTGTGAATGGTACCGGTCTAGCACAGCTGTCCCTGGGCTGAGCCATCGATATTAATAAGTATCGGTAGGGTATTTTGGCACAGATTGGCGAGTCTGTGCGTAGGGCGGGAATTTGAAGTTTCATTTGTATTTATATAAGGTTTTTCTTGATATTTAGGTTTGGGTATTTATTCTGTTAGGTAGAGGATACGTGCTTGGTTAAATTGAATTTATTTATTGATCGTCGAACTCGGTGACATATATTTACTATTATTCTACTTATTTATCCCCATATTTTTTGCGTGGGGCATTTACATATTTATTTATTTTTGTTAGTCTAAGTTGTTTTTTGGTTTTGCCGGAGGCGTATATTATATTCACGATTTATTTATTTATTGGATGTTTTTGCGTGTGGAGTACATTTATGTTTTTGTATTTACCTATTCCCATTTTCTTGGTTATTTGTGGTTTTCTTTTTCTTGGTATTTGTATATACTTGTATATTTAATTATTTTATGTAGATAAGCTGGTGTTGCTGTTATATAGTGTGTATATAGCGGCGGGAGTATATTATCCCCGCTGCCCATTTAGAGAC